ACATGTGTTCCCTTTCTATATATATATATTAATCACTGTTAACACATCAGCAGATGATCACAGATGAGAAGTCTGGCTCACTGGTCTGGATTCTATTTATGTTCACAAATGTACTTCAATAAACATGTAAAATGACTAAATTGGTTAAAAAGAAAAGAAAAAGCTGCTGCATCAGCATTCCTCACATTTTGATGATTAAACTACAATTCGTTCTGATGTTTTCAGTATCAGATTTGTGAATATTTTCATCACACAGCCACAATGGAAACTGAGAACCACGTCTCCACGCTTGGCTCAACTAAGACCAGTTTAGCTTATTTTCTGGGAGGTTTAAGGGAGCTGGTACAGGCCGGGTCTGAGCAGGGATAACCTACAGGGAGTCTCCTCATCACAGCGTCTGGGCACTGGGGTTTTCATAAGCCCCACAAGAGATGCAAGCACACATGTACACATACCAGGTATGCTCGCGCTGAGAAATTAATGAATGACTTGCTTGCACATAGCGTGACTCGTTAAACAAATAGGACATCGATGTGATTACAGACGAAACCCACAGACATGATGCAATGAAGAAGACAATGGGATGAAAGCTCCAAGATGAAGGTCTTTATGTTCTTCAGCAGCTAATCCGATTTATCAATCAATGAATCAATAAATTGTTCAATAAGGGCTCCTGTCCACTAACACATACAGTTATTGATCTCCAGCTATGATACAGATGCCCTGTATGTCTCCTGAGGGCATCAGAACAGAGCCGGTCACATTATGTATAGACACACAGAGACGGATGAGAGCAGACGAGAAGGACAGCAGAAAACAAGGACAACAAAAAGGTGTCGCCGGCAACAGCAGGTCGAGGCGAGTCAACAAGTTCGGGTTAGTGCAGGCAACACGGGCAACATCGAGGCCGTTACAGTTAGTGCACTTGTGACGACACGCAAGGACATGCAAGACATTGGCGCTTTGATCAGCATTAGTATCTTGTAGAAGTGGTATATCAAATCAGCAAGAAATGAAGATAAAACCATAATTCAGGCATGTGGCGTATCAATAATTCAAGTCTGAGAGCCTGTTTCTTTACAGTTAACACGACATGACATCTGTTAGTGTCAATTGTATCATTATGTGCCAAATATATGTTGACAAAAAACATTTTCATAAACATTATGTCCCTATGAGTTTAGGTTTTTTCACTGGCACATCTTCAGTTTCATTGAGGGCTGCTACCAATGATTCTTTTTTCAATCAATCAATCAATTATTTGCTTCATATCCAGAAAATAGCAAATTTTGACAGCCAATGGTGCCACTTTCAAACTTCATATAATTTCTGACCAACACCTTAAAACATGAATATTCAAGTTATAATTATCGGTGCATAAAACAGAGAAAAGCGGTAAATCCTCACATTTAAGGAGGCTAGAACCAGCAAATATTTGGTATTTTTGCTTGATTAATGAGCTAAACGATTAAGCTGTTTTAGAAATTGCTGGCAATGGATTATCTGTCAATCAACTAATTATTTACTTATTACTAACAGTTTCAGCTGTAATTTCTTCCAATAAACCTGTCCTTCAAATCTAAATTAAATCCAGTCTCTCCTGATCGTTTAGTATCAACCAGACATTCAATTTAAAGCAAAAACACATTAAAAACCAACACAATGTAAAACAATCATATCATGGGACCTTAAATATGGTTGAAAGTAGGACAGGTGTTGGCTATCACCTTTAATCTGCTTCACTTTCTTTCTTCACGCTGCCAGCTGCAACACATGCAACTTTGCTTTTTAAAGAGAAGAACCTCCAGGATCCTGCAATGCATGCATGCACCCACCAATCCATGCACAGACAGTCCAACATAATGGCTCAACTCTGATCAGTTTATTGTCTGTTTTCTGGACTAATTACTGTAATGTAACTTTGGCCTTCAACAACTCTCATCGCACTTCAAGCCAGAGTGAAGCAAAATGCAGGTAACACAACAGGAAGTTTACAGAAGAGAAGCGTGGCGTGATAGAAGGAGTAAAGGCCAGCAGTTGCGATACGTTACAACTTTGCCAGTTTACACAGACAAGCCACAGCATGCAACTGTTGAAACTACACCTGCAAAATAACTGTATATCTGTATCCCACAATTATACCTAATCGTCTAACATAAAAGCCCTTACCTTCATGACTCCAGTTTACCTCCTACATGTACGGTAGCTGTATGGGCTGTGTTCCAGTGTGTGTGGAGACTCACCAGTGGAGATGAAGGCTGGCTGCTGGAGCTGCATGTTAGCCAGCGCTTGCTGGTAGTGGAACATGCTGGGGTTGAAGACGGCAGCTCCGTTGCTCTTCTCTAAGATCGCCCTCTTTGGTGGCTGCTGCATGGCCCCTGGAGGCAGAACCTGAAAGGAGAAGAAAAGTCACCTGTTATCTGGCGTTATCTCAGAGTGAATATACACTGGGTGCTCTATAGGCACAACATCCAGTTGACGTGGATGTTTCTGTTTACCGCCACAAGAGGACACTGCAGTATCGCAGATTATCTGAAGTGATGTAGGACAGCCCAGAGGTCAGGCCAAGAGCAAAATGAGATGGTTATGATTTCATTCACCAATGGGGCCGGTGCTGAAACATCAAACTACGGCGGAAGATAACCAAAATACATTTTAGTCACACACACTAAAGGCTGTGATGTCAAGCTGTCATTTAAAAAAATCTATTTGTTTTACTAATACAAATGAATCCTGATTAATTTTACATGAACTCAGTAAATAGCAACAGTAACAAAAACTAAATGAATGCCATAGTATATAAACCCTTGATAAGTATCTGATCTCTTTCATGCTATTTTGAATCTTTTTTCCAATACTGCTTTTTTTGTTTTTTAGCATCCGCACTGCAGATTGACCTGATTATGTTACAGCTGCTCTCAATGCTAACTTTAGCCCTTGTAGATGAGTGTACGGGCTCAGACACATGCACAGTAGCAGACATTCATGAAAAAACATAATCCCCGGACTACATTATCAAATTTCAAGCTGGCTGAAGGATACTGCGATACCCTGATCCTTCATTGCATCAGTAAACAATATCCAAGTAGAGAACAAGAACATATTCTACTGTTTCATTGATGGATTAAGAAGAGACGATGAATGTCACTTTTGAGAAGGTCATTATGTGTGTTCAGCTTATCATAGAATAGCATGTTATGTTTATTTTTGGCTTAAAGAACATAGAGTTATCAGTATTTGGACTCACCAAGCCTGCGGTCGCTGTGTTGTGACTTGCTTGGTGCTGTGCAGCCTTGATCCTGGCCTGCAGGTGAGCTGGCGGATGGAAGTACTTGCACTTGTCTCGGCTGCAGCGGCCTTTAATGTAGTCCATGCAGACGATGACAGAGTTCTCGCTGCAGTCCACCATGCCGGCCTCCAGAGGGTGAGCGTAGCGGCAGTCACTCTCGCCCCGTGTGCAATTACCACGCTGGAATTCTCGACAAACCTGGGAGGGCCAGCGGGAGCACTGATCAACATTTACCTTTCATCATACTGTGGACAAACATAGAAACAATAACTGCGCGCATGCCGCATACCTCCAGCTTGTCTGTGCGCACATGTTTTTGTGCGGAGATGCCGTTGCCCATGGCTGCCAGGCCGGTTGGACTCCCGGGGATCAGCAGGGGAGTACTGGGCAGCAGCTCAGGCATCAAGCCCATGCCTGGGCCCATGTGGCTCAGATATGGACTGAACGCCATACTGGGGCATGTTGCCAGGGAGGGCGACACTGGGAATGTTGTCTGAGGGAGGGAGAGAAGGGCAGAGACGAGAGCGACAAAACAAGTTATGGCAGAGCTTCAGGAGAAGATTTGGTGGTAACATAACCAGTAGCCTACTGTGTTTTTTTACGTAAATGAGAACCATGCAGTTACCCATGGCTATGCCACTACTACTTCAAACATTTAATTACCTGTGCATCAATAACATGTAAAATATTCTGCATGTCACTTTTGAATCAGCAAGTTTTACATTTCCTTTCAAAAGGTTGAATGAGAGCTACCTTCACTGTAGCTGAATATAACTTCCCTGCATCATTATCTACTGTATGCAAGATATAACAAAAACGAAAATAAATCAAACAGTCAAATGGTTTATATCTGGCAGAGAATTCTGCAAAGTTCTCACTGTAAATGGACAGGAAGGCATATTTTATATTTAAATAATAGACAGAAGAAGGCTCTTATTTATTCCTTATACTATCTTTATTGGAGGACAGAAGTTAGAAGAAATGAACTGTACTAGCAGGAAGTCAAAATAACTGCCACTCTGTTGCTGGCTAAAACATCACTCACAGCACACGGAGAGCAGTTATTATTTCGATAAATAAGCCACATTTTCAAACACATTGCATTGATTATAAAGACGTAGTTTTAGTGTGAGCTGCTCACAATCGGCTGCATATGTGTTCCGGGCATCATGAACTGCATCTGTTGAGCCAACATGGCTGCCGTGGCCTTCTGCTGGATCAGGTTGTTCCTCCCGTTAATCTCCAGCTGGGTTTTCAGGTGTGGCGGTGGGTGCAGGTATTTACAGTTCTCACGGGTGCAGCGCCCCTGAAGAGAAGAGAGGGGCGAGGAAAGATGAGCGTGTGAGAGCAGACAGCCGGGGTGACACTGAGAATAATGTGACACTAAATCAATAAGGGGTGTGCCTCGACATGGAAAGCTCACCTTTTTGCTGCAACTGATCTGAGATTAGCAGAGCACTCCTCCGTATAATAAAGTACAATTTGTTGAACTAAACATCAAGAATCAAGCGCGTTTACGGAGCAGAACTACGTACGGTAAATTCTGGTGAAATAAAGCACTAATGAAGTCCCAGAAGACAGCATATTGGATAATTCATGAGAAATGTGCAACCACTTACATCAAAATATGCTACGCTGGAACAATCTGAGCAAAACAGAAAAGTAGAACATTTAACTGCCTGTCATTCATTTCTTGTTTTTACAAGCAAATTACTTAAAGCCATTGAGCCAGTCAAACTGTACTTTTCATTTTATAACAACTTATTTTATAGCAATGTGAAATGACAGCTGGGGTATTTGAGCCAGCTTCTAATTTTTCCACGGAGGCACAGCAGATGTCAGATAAACCTAACTGACAAGAAATAAAGCTGGAGGGTGAAAACACATGTTCCATTCTCACCATCCTGTACACCAAATTCTGTATCTCTATCTCTACCCGGTACTTATCAGTCATTAAATAAACTACGATGTATGTGACTGACAGCAGCACATGCACTTGTTGTGTTCAGAGAAGAGATAAAATGGGATTAGAAAACAGAGACCAGTAAGCTTGTTTTATTCTAGTAACAATGTTTTGTTTTACTTATATTTGTATGGAAACTTGGAATACTGTCAGTGGTGGTGGATGTTTTCAGATCTTTTACTTGAGTAAGAGTAGAAACATCACTAAGTAATGAAACGGATAAGCAATGTAAGTAGAAGTCCTGCATTGAAACGTATCCAAGCATTCTTATCATACTTAATAGTATCATAGAAATCCAAAGTATTCCAGGCATATCATATTATTAGATTAGATTAGATTATTGGTTTCTTCATGATCTTTACTACTCTTTATTCACTTTTACTAACCTTCATAACAAGGCTGGCTAACATGAGGTAAAAACTCAAGAGAAAGTTTTTATTAAGTGTTTCTATATTATAACAGTGAGCCCCAATAAAAATAAATATATATGAAAAAATAAATATTCTAATCTAATGAACACAGAGAACTATAGCACTACTACTGTATCCATGACAATTCATGAACAAATGAAGCATGTTGGCTGTGCAGCCATAGTTGGCTGTTGGGCTTATGTGCATAGTCAAAGCATTTCTATTTGTCTTGTATGCAAAGCTTCATTCATCACATTCAGGCTTAAATATCAAAAGGCAGGAAGTTTGTGTGACTGCAACCAAAGTCTTATGTGTTTCAGCAAAGCAGATTCCCTAAATAATGAATGTAAATAAAACAGCAAGAAATGGTTATAAAGACATTCCCAGAGGTCACATAGCTCAGCAATATACTGGGTTATGAATTAAACTGAATATTGGATAAAAGTTGAACGATGTACAACTGCAGTTGTAGTTCCTCTGACGAATGATTCATCTATTATTCTTGTGATCAGTGCAATGTGTTGTGAATGTCTGGATGTAAAAGAAGCGTTTCAACAACCTAATACTAGGTTGCTATAATTCTGTATTTAGTCAGCTGTATTTTGAGCCACTTATCTAAAAGCAATTCATTTTGTGCCAAAACGTCGTTAAGGCAGTGTCCTTGCTCCCCGCCGGAGTCTGTGGGGAAGGTGAAGATGGTGCTGCAGGAACACTGCAGGTCAACACAAAAACTGCAGTCTCCATTAAACCCCTGGGCAGACAGCAGCTGTCTGGCCCTGCAGATGAGCCGTTAACCCGCTAAACTACCTCCACTGAGCGTCAGCCACATGCTTTGTCGTCAAACCACACCCACAGCAAACAGCTCACATTACGGGAGGGTGAGCGTGCCGCACAACTGGCAACGGAAAATTAAAAAAACTCTAAAGACAAACTGACGTCATGGTGCAGAGACTCTGACGGTGATGGATGATGTCGCGCTGAGATGAGGACACATAAAAAAAAAAATTAAAAAAAAAAGGGTTTCAGTAGCAGGAGAGCTATATAGGACAAACTGCGATGTCTCCTATACCAACATCCCGGAGGGATTCACACGACCTCACACACCAGACAAAAAGCATACAAGCAAAACATGTAGCTGCTTGAAAAGTGGTCAGAATGGTACAACGAGGCTTTACAAAAACACTCTCGCCTACACTGGAGATGCATGCGATCAAGCTCTGCGTCAGCGAGCTGTGTGTTTAGGGATGAGTCTGTAATGAAGTGTGAGTCCCATGGGCCCAGCAAGCCTGCTCAAACTCAGAATGAAAAGTACCTATTAATGAGCATAATGACGCACTTTGTGCACCTTGTCTTGCAAAAAAATAAATAAAATAAAAGCTACAAAATCTGTGTTGGAGAAGGAGGCCAATGAGTCAAGGTGTTGAGGAGAGTATTGGCTCAGGAATCTCCCTTTGGTTGCCATAGCAACACACTACACCACACAGAGAAAGTCCCCGTCAGTACAGCAGTGATGAGAGAGAAGTGAGACATTGATTGAATCTCATGATGAAGGAATCGATCTAAACTGTGCCCATATTGATATGGGACGAGCTCGATCTTCAGCTAAACGAGTTTGTGTTCATCCTCACAATTGACAACGATTTAGAGCTGAAACGAATAGTCGATCGACAGAAAACAAGTTTGGAAACAGTTTTGTTAATTGACGAATTGTTTGACTTTAGGGATGGCGCCGTCGGTCTGTCCTACACTTTGGTTCAGACTGTAATCTCAATAACTATTGGATGGATTAAATCTGCTATGGTACTCAGCCGATGAATCATAATCACTTTGGTGATCTCCTGAACTTTCACAGAGCCTAACAGAGCTGCTAGCAACTCTTAGTCATCAAAAAAATGCCTAAAATATGCTGAATCCAGCCTCTCAAAAGTGAAGATTTCCTGCTTTTACTCTTGATGATAGAGACTGAGTATTTTGAGGTTTAGGATTGTTGTTTGGACAAAAGCAGCACGTTAAAGAAATTCTGTCATGTTATACACCAAAAGATCTAATCGATTAATCGACAAAGTGTTCAGCAGATTAATTGATGATGAAAATATTTGTTAGCTGCAGCCCTACTATGTCATCCCAAAGGTGACACTGCTGTTGAATCGGCTGTGCGTTGGGCAGATGTGATGTCCACACTAATCATTTGAGATGACAGCAGCACTCCGGTTAACAAGGTAAAAAGAACTAGCCCCCCCCTCCCCCTCCCGCAGCAGGTTCAGACCAACGAGAAGGAGCTAATGGACGAGCAACAGGGAATGACAGCGGTCGGCTCGGACCGGCCAGGGATGCCAGATATGGGAGGGACGGTGAGGAGGGAGGCCATTAGCAGATAAATCCATAAAATTAACAAAGAAGGGAGGGTTGGGCGGAGAGCAGGAGGAAGGAGTGATGCTGTAGAGCGTCTCGAGCGAGGTGTGCTTCTTGTTTTTTCCAGTTAGTCGACCAAAAACAACGGCTGTCAGCTGAGAATAATCCTGACCAACAATGGGGGTAGAAAGACTGCAGTAAAGAGGTGGTTGTTGACATACTGTGCTGGCACTAAAACCCCGCTGCAGCTCCTGATAAAGAAAGCCGCTTTGACCTTCAACTGTCACCAACTTCAGTTCTTTCTCAAACAACATGACCCCGGGGCTTCAAACAATCGAAAGTGGCCTTTAATGCTTGTTCATTGCCTTTGGTACAAAGCAGCTCGCCTCTTTCTCCCATCAATGCAACCAGTACAGAGCCAGGCTGTTGCTCTGTGCTAAAAACAGCCGTGCCACTCAGGAAGATCAAACTATCCAATGGGTACGCTCTCCTGTGCTGTTGCTAGGCCCCCCTCTCTGATTCTCTCCCTCTCTCTCCCTCTCCATCTCCCTCCTGCTCTGGAGGACATAACACAGAAAAATGGCTGAATAATAAATTCTAACTCAATAAACGAGGAGACAGCAGCTGCGCTCAGACAGAGAGCCCCTTGTCTGGGTCTCACTTTTTCTCTGCATGAAAGCCCGTCGAGCAAAACACAAACGCCGATACAGCAACAGACTATTCTCTATTTTAACACTATCGGCCACTGATGGTCGTAGCTCTTGTAAAACGCAGTAAAGCATAATCACTTTTCAGACTGTTAGTTTGCTGCGTATGAGTGGAGCTAGTGTTGTGGTTCTGCAGCTGAAGTGATGTTGAAGCAGCACGATCCTCAAGCCCACGTCACTGATGGACGGACAGACGGCCGGCAAAGTGGCTTCACCAGAACCTTCCATCACGCCTGAGCAAAATGGACACATTAAATATCTTCATAACCAGAAGACTTTCCTCTGACATTGTTATACGTATCTATACGTGTTTATTTTTAGAGAATGAAACGTTGCCTAGTTAAATTTATACCATGGTCACGGAAAATTCTCAATTCTGATTGGCTGTAGGGTGTGGATTAACTTTTAATAACCAGACATGACAACCGGATGTCTATGATGCAGATGTTTGATGGGTATCAAACTGTAGGTAAAGATAGCAACAACAGGGCTTAACTGAAGAGCTCGGAGCTAGGGTTATTTGTGTAACCAAGAGTGAGTCTGGACAGTAGGGCAATTACCACAATTACCATCACAATACAACTTGTTGGGTGTATATAAAACATAAATGTGTCCACCATCAGAGACTTTTCAATACCATCTATACTGCGGTAACTATCCCTTTAACATAACTATTTGTATTACATCATTGCAGGAATGTTGCGATTAGCAAGACTGCTTTATGGCAGTAAAACCTCTTTCTTTCCCTTTTCTGTTCGTCTCTCAAGAATATGCTATCAAATAAAGAAAAAATAGGTACCTTGATTTGTCAGGTGTCACAGTATAAGCCAAAAGCAGTCACATGTAGATATTTCATCAAACGTTTTCAATGAACTATATAATGATATGCAGTATATAGCTATCTTAAAATAACTTTGGGCGATGACAGGCCACAAGGTTTTTTTCCAGATGGCATTCTCAAGATATCTGAAAAGAGATCATTCTGCGAGATACTTTTAAAATTGTTAACAAGCTTGTTTACCATAATTCACGATATTAAAAACCCCATGATCAGAAGGATATATAGATGAAAGAAGAGGAAGTCTGAGAAAATAGCTTTGAAAAATCGAGGTGGGGGTAAAAGGGGGGGGGGGGGGGAATCAACTGACCAACTGACATATTTGTAAGGTTTCCAGGAAATGTTTGAGCTGAGGGGTGAGCCACCCGCATCCTGACGCATCTCTAGTAACAATTTATGTAGTAGATGACACCCTAAGCGATAGTCACGCTTATTTAACATATTTACAGCGAAGGTGGGCCACCTCATCTGAAAAAAAGACCTCTGCTATAAAACAAAACAGGAAGGTTTGTGTGTATCCGTGTGTGTGTGTGTTGTGCGTTGATATTACGCAGTGCCAAAAGGCATCAACTACCTTAATACAGCTCACAATGCATGTGTCTAAACAAGCAAGATGTGTGATGTCTGTTGCGTTGTTACCTTGAGTGAGTCAAAGCAGGCGATGACTCGGCCATTCTCCACATGGCAGCTGCGGGAGGGGTGAGCAAACTTGCACTCGGCATCACACCGCGAGCAGGTGCCTCTCTGAAACTCACGACACACTTCCAGGGTCAGCCATTTGGTGTCCCGTCCCATGGTCATGCTGACAGCCATCAGAGTCGCTCACAAACACCGAGTGGCGGTGAGGGCAGATGGACGGAAAACTGTGTGACGGGAGCAAGGGTGACTAATAGTGATCCAAGAAAAATCCCCAGCAAAACAGAAGCAGAAAAATGTTCTGTTTTTCCTCAGTGCAAATAGGCAGCGAGTCCTTCTGGTTGGTGTATTTTAGGGAATGTTTGTAAGTTCTTCCTGGGAAAAGTGGCAGCTGAAGTTTGAGATAGAAGGGGCAGACTGTGAGCAGAGGCCAGCTCTGTCTCCAAGAAAGAAAAAAAAAAAGGAAAAACAGGAGCTAGTCTGAGGACATCACTCTGGCATGTGACACTGAGCGTCTGTGCCTTCACCTGAATCGATTGACGCCCACCGTAAGTCACTGTTAGGTTCACGTCAACATGGCTGGGGCTCGAGCAGTCACTGTAGTTAGGTTTGAACGGCCTGAAAAAAAAAAAAGAAGAAGACTTCTGTAGAGCAGAAACAAAAGCAGAACCTTTTAGGGATGGTGTCCTTACAGTGATGAGACTCTGTGGCGGCTCAGCTCAGGCTATGTGCGGACTGCAGCTCAGCAACGTGGGATGGATGGCTCTGTGGCTGTCAGGATAAAATATAGCCTCCATTCAAGGCCAAACACACTGAGCCACGTCCTGCTCTCATCCAGCAGCTTAACAGCAGCAGACGACCCCTCGCAGTAGGCACTTTGGAGTTCCACTTCCTTCTCTTATTTCAGTCTCTTTCTCATCCCTCCTTCGCCGTTGTCGATTATTCTGTTGTCATCCTTCTCACTTGCATCTCTTCTGCATGTCTTTGCTTGTCGTCTTGCTGTGGACTGTAAAATAATAAAAAAGAACATTCATTTAAAGCAATGACGAAGAAAATAAGCAGCCTGTTGAGGAGAAAAACGTTAATGTGAAGCTACAACCTTGTGTGGAGCTGGTTTAAACGGAGGGTGGAGAGGACCACGAGGCAGGAGCGTGGAAGGGATAGAGCCAAAGAGAATAAAGCGAGGACAAACAAATAGCGGAACAGAGCATACGGGAGGGAGGGAGGGAGGCAGCAATGAACAGGAAAGGGCAAGCTATGTCTTGATTAAGTGATACAAGAGAGAGAGGGAGAGAGAGGGGATGGAGGGAGATTGCAGGCAGGACAGAGACGTCACTTTAACTCCCCTGAGCTCCACGGAGCAGAAAGTAATTGACTAACTTGGAGTGATTCATGCTACAATATGCTGTAAAAAGCGGTGTCCTTGAAGTCGCACCGGCGAGCACGTGTGTGGTCGACACTGATGATTCCCAGACAGTTATTAATGTGAAGGGGAAGAAGTAGAAAAAAGGAGAGACAGGGCAGAGATAGAGAGGGAGGGGGGGGGGAGGTAGTGCTTCACAACTGCAGCTGCTGTGCTCAATGCAAGGCTCCAGCAAATCGGACAGACTTTTGCTGGCATGCAGAGCACATCACCGACCAATGACAGGGCAGTTTCTACAGCGGCTCCTCCCTCCTCAGAGCCCGTCCTTGTTCCTCCCAGGATTTTTTCACAGTCATGGCTGAGCCACATGCTTATATTCATACTGTACAACAACTCTGACTCTGAACAGCTTCTCACAGATGTTGAGGAGTAAGTCATGTCTCAAACAGTGGACTATACTACAGTGTGATGCAAGGAGAGGGGATGCATGCAGCCTTCTGCGCAGGGAGCAGAGCGACGTGTCCGGACACTAACTGAATACAGATAGCAATCAGTGAGGGTGGCTCAATAAAGACACACTCAGACAAGAAACAACAAATTAGCTTCACAAGAGATTGCAAAGTCCAGCTGGTAAAAACTGAAGAGAAAAGAAGGCTGTCCTGGATGAAACATGGTAGTACATTAAAGCACAAAGTGAATAAACAATAGGTGAGATGCAGGAGAGGAGGAGTACAAAAAGTAGGAGGAGGAGAGGGGGGCTGGAGCAGATATTATCGGTCCCTGCGTCTGATGGCGGCAGACACAGACGGAGGACACGACGGGGGGGGGGGGGACGAGAGTGTGTGTGTGTGCATGCAGATAGACAGCCCAGAAGGAGAACACCGCAGTGGAGTGGGAGAAGGAGGGATAAGGGGGAGGTGGGGACTGAATTGATACACCCACCTTCAAACACAAGAACAAAGACACATCCCCAGCCCAAAACAAAAAGAGAAGCAGGAATGAGAGATGAGCAGGTACAGCAACTGCTTTGCTTGCTTAACCATTATGCTCGTCTGGTCCTTCCTCCTCCTCCCAGCCTACCTACAGATCGATAGAAACTTTTCTCAGGGGGACAAAACAAGCACTCCTCCTGCAGCGTTGCCCGTCCTGCATTCAGGTCCACATCAGTGTCAAGCGCCCTTGCTTACGCACACCCTGACGACGCAGCTCAGCAATATGCAACCCGCATCATCAAAATGCTCCTCAGCAACACCACTCTCTTCCTCGCCACACCAGACACCAAATGGCGCACAGTTGCCATTACGACAGTTCTTGGAAAGATGCGCAGCCAGCACTGGCTCTCCTCCAGGGCTGCTCTAGTTTATACGGCACCCTGCACCTTGGAGTATACACGGTAATGACCTTTCACTTGCCGATTTGAACAGCTGTGACTCTGCTTTCCAGTAGATTCACACTCAGGAAAATTTCACCGACTGTTTAACCAAGTCACGCCTTGTTAGCTTTCCTTTTGGCCTCTAGCTGGGCCTTTACGTTTACTGGAAGACAATGAGGGCAGTTCAAAATAGAAAAGTCATGCCATGGCATGATGTGCACTTTGCCCACTTTGGGGTTACCCACTTTGTTACAGCATGTTCATAAACAGACAAAACGACAAGTGAGCGCCATTAGTAAGCTAACATATCTGACATTCAAGCTAAACAGTAAGTATGTTTAATCAGTTAGTTTGTCATAAGTGGGTATAACCTTGACTGGGTGTCATGGCCAAAGTCTTCTATTACCATATGAGTCATTTCGTATCTCGATATAACATGTTTTCTGGTAATTCAATACAAAAATTCAACTAGATTCAACATCTGGTAAACCATGAATATACAAACTTTGTGTCAATCCATCAAGTCGATGTTTCACAATATAAGTCACAAAGACTCATCCTCTGGGGACCATGAATGTTTGTAAAAAAAAAAAAAATCACGGCAATTATTTCATCCAACAGTGAGATATTTCAGTCTGGACCAAAGTGCACACACAGATCAAGCATTCATAAAGCCTCACCACTAGCAAAGCGTTCACCCCACCAACAGTTTGGATTGACTCCACTGTGCAAGTACACCGTGAGACTAGTCTGCACATGAGTCAATGAATACTTCACCAACAACAGCAGACTGGTACAACCACCAGATTAAATCCAACAGCACAACGCCTTTGTAAAACTATAGAATTTATACAGAGGACTGTGTCTTCAAAGATGCCACAAACCTGTAAGAAACCATCGATAGGAACAAAATAAACGATACAAACATTTTTGCCAAACATGTACAAAAATAACACTCGCATGCATTGTCTGCTTTAAGCAAAATATGTCTCCTTGCATTTAATGATGTTATAATCAGCAGTTTTTGTTTTTTTTAAAAGAGAGAGCACTCTTTGGAAATGCAGATCCTTCAGTTTGGAATGAAACCCAGATTGCCAAGCTGCAATATTGCACAACAGTACTCTACCTACCACAGCACGATAAAACACGAGGAGGTCAAAAGTTACACCAGCATAACAAACAGTTAAGAAGCCAATAATTAAGAGGAAGCGAAAAGATAAAAGTTAAAGGTACTCTTATAGCAAAACACTGCTCAAGAGCTCTGTTATTAAATAGAGGATTGAAGCTACATGCTTGAGGCCGCATTATTGTGCCGTGTCAACCCACACAGCTCAACTATCTCAGTGTTGTTCCTACGACAGGGATGATTGGGTTATGGTTCAATAACAAACCACTTATAAGAAAGGATGAAAATAGGCTTTACTGTAGCTATATGTCAATACACCATTTAATCTTATGATATGCACAGTATGGTTGTTTTCATCCAGAGAAAAATTCCCATAATAACATTTGAGAAGCTGAAACCTGAAACAGTTATCCCCTTTTATTCTTCATGCTAGTAAACTGTCTTAATTGTCTAAAATTAAAAAATGAAATTAAAACTCAACTTTATTCCCACATAGCTATCGGAGAACTTTAACAAAGTGTGTACATTTTGAACAGAAATAATCCTGGCCCACTGAACCTGTCTGACCTTTACGATGCAGCACAAACAATAATTTGCATGGCTAATAAATATAGAGCGCCCCAGTTGTGACAGCCATTATGCTGCTGCCGGTCAACCGGGTGTCTGCAGAGAGAAGAGGGGCTCCAGCAGTCAGTAGGCGGGGGTCAACATGTAGGTGGAACAGGATGTGGGGGAAGTATTAGGAAGACAGAGGGGGGTGGCTGCTGTTGACTCCGGCGCACTGCGTCCATCATCAAACACAGTGCACCAAAGGGCTACCGACAGTGTAACCTTCACCGGAGCTCTGACGTCTGCATTATGGCTGGTGTGCAGGCTGGGTGCCACCTCGACAGACAGCCCTGCACCTTATCTGCTCAGACAAATAGATAGCCTGACATCGATAAAACTGTTTGGCATGCATTAAGTCAAAGGTAAGGTGACACATTAACTAATAAACAAATACAAAACCCATTTTATTTCTCCTCTTAGATTTTTCCATTTGCACAATCGTGGTATGGTCAGGGGGGGGGTTGTGAAGTGAGTTTCTTGCCAGCCAGGGGCCGAAGGCAATTTTGGGGGTGTAGAAAATTAAGAGCATTCGATAAATATGACAAATGTGACTATAAAGTGTTATAGGGTAATACAGCAGGTTGACAGAGAGAAGAAAGGTATTACAAAACTAGAAAAGGCCATATTTTCAGAAAGACACATTCATGTGTGCTACTGCTGAAAATGTACAGATAAAAAAATTGAAATAGTTCAGATAATTAAAGATGAAGTGGCAGTACTGAAAATATCATATTTGGATACATGAGCTAAAATGGAAGAGGTGAAAGACATTAATATGAAGTGCGAGCGGAAAGTGAATTGAAAATTCAGCTGAACTTCAAGAACTGAAAAAAGTTGAAATGTCTGTTCGCAAATATAAGCTTGCTTCATTATTGCACTTGTGAATTACTGTTGTAAATTTCTCCAGATAAAGAGCATTTTCTTAATATGTAAAATTGTGTTGTAGGCTGATACAGCTGGTTGACAGGGAGAACATAACGATCATACAACTATGGAGCTCAGTGTTTCACCAACTGGGGGAAACACATTGATTGATTTTAGCATTTATACACATTGGAAAAGAAAAAACACTTTGGCTCATATCTGTGAGTCAGTTTGGATTCTCGCGTCAACCAACTTCCCAAAATCTTGAGTTTCCCCATTCCCAAAAGCTTGGCTTGGCGAGTCTCTTTTTAGGGGCACAGGTAGTTGTGTGACGAACATTGTAGCTATATAAAACAGAACTCTGATCTCCAGCTATGATTCTTGTTTAGTTCACCAGACAGTCAGCTCTTTTTGGGAGCATCGACAAGGACAAGGTGATCGACTAAAAAGCACAAGGTGGAAGATCCATAAATCACAATGAGAGTGAAAGCTAGCAGCCAGGAAGGAGGGAGCTAAATAATTGGGTTAAGTATTAGTAATCCTTTCAGCTCATTAAAGCACCACAGTTCCTATTCAAGCAAACATACAAGCCTACTCTATCGCACAGGACAACATAGCCGGCACGAAGCATGCAATACTTGCAGTTTAAGTTTCCTGTTGCACTTTTAATTCAGAAAAGAGTGTTGTGAGCTGGGAGTTTCCCATCCCTGTAGTGAGCTCATGAAAGTTAACTGTGAGGAAAAACTGTAGATATCAAAGTTAAAACAACAACGCGTCATCGGCATATTATTTCTGATTCGTTATTGTAAAAAAAAAAATTGAGCTTCCCAGGCAGTTAATGTGTGTCTGCGTGAGAGGGGAAATAAAAATAAAAAAACAGGTTATGTTGGAAATGTGGCTGCATGCCCACGTGTGTTTGCCAGTGTAAAGAAGAACTAGCTAGACTGGTGCAGAGTCCACATCCTGCAGGGTGCTGAACTTGTCTTAACTGGCTGTTTTATTAAATGAGCCAGGATGATGGCACTGGAGTAGCTTACACTATAGGAAAGTAGTGACAACACAGTATGCTATGGTGGCATTAGTGTCTGACCCCTGAGGGCCAACAGTGACTCAACCTCCCTGCACCGCATGCATGCATGCATGCATGCATAGAGGCTGGCTGCAGACACACAGATAGATAACCAGGAAAGGAAACTGCAGGCGCTCTTCACTTCTGCCAACTGTAATGGAATTAAATATAGTATTACACAACAACTTGCACTTGAAACACTGGCACTGTGAGAGACATCCAATAAAATCCCTGCACATTGCATTCAACCAAACCCTTATGTGCAGATCCCACACTCAAATATGATATTTTTATCCACACAGCCGTCAGCGCTCAGCGGACCTACCCAAAGCATTTTACACGCAATATTATTTCGGTTGCGCCTTTGTCTAACACCGACATTACGCCCGTAATTAACAACAACAAAGGCAGCTTCCACGCAACAGGCAGAGTGGAAGAGGCATTTGAAATGACTGCAACGCGGCTTAAATATAAAACTAGGTAGCAGTATTATCGCTGCAAACTGCGCCAGACGTGCTCAGCCTCTTACCTGTGTCCAGTCGGATTCAGATATCTTCTCCTGTATTAACGTCGGTTTCAATGGCTATTTTATGGTAATTTTTCCACAAAAAACACGTTCTTAGTCTGGCTAAGAATGATAAAAATCCATGCAAGTAAAAAGAATTAAAAAGCAACGTGTTACCGCCGTGGAGTGAGAGAAAGACAGAAGGGGTCTGGCTGGCTGCTGATATGTTTGCTGCAACTACATTTGCTCGGCTGCAACACTGACTGAACACAGAATAACAGATTTGGAAAAAATAAGAGGGAGGGGAAAAGCTGGTGAGGGTGGAGTTGGGAGAGACGGAGCGTGTTCGCTTTCGTTTTAGACAACGTGATTAGCATTGAGGAGAAATCAAAGTCACGACAGGTTATCATCGCGGTAACAGTTCGGCTGACCATAAACACGTCGCAGGTGAGTTTAACCACCACGGAAGGTAGTCTGCGGGTTTAAGATTACGCTCATTTTAAGGATTTACCTGGTTACAAATGACTCATTATTATGGTCAAATTAGCCCCCAAAAACCACACCCATATCACAACGGAATGTCATTTAAGATTATTATTTAACAGATAACTGTTTAAGTTAGTTGTTGTTTTTTTTTTGCAATAGTTAACGTTAACAACATTTGAACGTATAACGTCAGCCTGACGTCAAATTAAAACGGGTTTAAGGTTTTTCATAATCAGTTTAAATTTAAATATACTTCAATTTAGTTAATCTATCTGTATATAGAATTAACAGCATGTACACTGTTCATACCCCTGAACCATCTCTGCCAATGCAATTGTACTGATTTAAAAAAAAAAAAAAGGTAATACATCTTAAAACAATCCTATATTTTAGTATATTGCTGAATTCAAAACATGTCCCAGCTGACCCCTCTATTAAATCCACTGAGGATCGCACTGAAGATGGTCTAAATCTGCCCAAATTGTAGAATAAACTGTGGCATCAACTACCACCTCAGTATCTCCACCGAGGAAGTTTTGATTTTATTAAAACTATTTCAGCGCTCCCTGCTGGTGATCCAGAGGTTTGCAAGTGCAAAACAAAGGCTTGCAGCCTTTTGTGCACATGATCAGACAAAAGAACATCAGACACAGAAAGAAGATATTTGACAAGAGTGCAGTGAATGTAAAAGGTTTTTTTTATATAAAAAAAATATTCATACTTCAGACAAATTCAGGATTTTACAAATTAGCAGTTAATGCTACACAATGAGGTATCTATGAAAATGCCACTCTCCTTTTCTGTTACTTACATAAGACACATAAAAACACAGGTATGTTTAAAAATGTACACATTTCAGACAGGACAACATTTTGGCAAACATATGGATTGTATATCACAAACAGTAGCATATTATTTATAGACACAACAAGTATTAAATTGTTCTTTTTAGCAAATAAAAAAAAATAAAACACCCCCTCATTCCAAGCTACATCACAAGAGCTCAGATGTGTTGTAAAGCCAGGAGAACAATCTAGAAGGCTTGTGTGATCACTGAAAGGTAAACGCATTGCAGTTACCTAAACAAGCCTCTCTTTACGTTAAAGAAATGTATTCATTAAGAATGTCAGTTGTGGAAAAGAAATACAATCAGTATCAATAAATAAGTGTGTCATTGGTTAATGAGAAAAAAAGACAATTTAGTGGAAGGCATATACTAAAACATCTTTGATTAATTATCATTAACAGACAAGGCAGAACATGGCCCACTTAGTATTAAGACTTGTTCCAGTCACTCACTTCCACTGCTCCACATTGTCCGTGTAGTCCTCCATGGTGCCGTTCTCATCCAGATCCCACCAGTCTGGGAGTAGCACCTCTGACTCCTCACCGTCTCCGCCAGCCTTTCCCCTCAGCTGCCCCTCAGTTACTATGGAGTGGCTCAGAGGGCCACGGGGAGCATCTGTGGGCTTCAGCTGCCTCCCTTGCTTTGTTGTGATCCTTCCTCGGAGCCGCCTCCTCTCCTGCTGCCGCCTCGCCCTGGCCTGCCTGCGCTCCTGCTGCCTCGCCACCTGGAAACGTTGCAGGAAGAGATCACGAGCATACTCGTACAGCTCCACGTCCCACCGGTTTAGCTGGAGGATTCTGTATTGGGTCTCATTGGGGACGTCAACGCCCGAGGCGCGCGTGCCGTTGAGCTGCGTGAAGGGCGCGATGAACTCCAGGTGGAAGGTACGCTCGAACAGATACTGGGTCTTACGCTGGTACTCTGTCAGCCCAAAAAAGGCCATCCCGCGTAGGTTGCGTTTGGCGCTCTCCAGAAGCAACGCCCAGCGCTCGTCGTCGCTCATGGTGGAGACGTTGTAGCAGCCCACCAGGCTGAGGTCCGCCAGCATGCGGGTTTGCCGGTTGTTGGCCAGGTTGTAGGGGCAGTCCATGAACTCCTGCAGGGAGCAACCGGACCAGTCGTCTCCAGAGTAACAGCTTGGCAGCTCAGACAGTGTTGGTGAACGTCCATCGCACACATGTAAGGAGGCCCTCCACGTAGCACCACGTTGCACGTGACGCCACTCGCTCAGGTAGCGTGATACTGGGTCTCTTAAGATGGTTATATAATAATAGTTCCTACTGGAGAGAAAAGACAACATTAGTTCTGTAATAAGCCAACTTAAGAAGCCTTGATGTCACTACAAGTAATAAGAAATAGTGCTGCAACTAATGTTTTTTTTGTTCATTATTAATTCATCTGTTGATTTCATTTAGTCTACTATTCCAAGTAAGCATTTGATGTAACAATCTTAATGTTTGGTTAGATTAATTTGGCAAGAAGCTCCTGCAACTGTTTGGTTAGTGTGTGCCAAAAGTGTTTGTGAATTAGGTTAAAGGAAAGTTTAGGCACTAAATATTTGTTATGAAGATTTATTCAAAAGTACATCTTCTGTGACAAAGCAAAACAGTTTTTTTAGAACCAGGTTTTCACCAGGTGTCACATTCACACTCTCTTCACTCTATGACGGTGGACAGCTACCTCAATTGAGCAAATTAACAGAAGCAAAGTGTTCCATTAAACCTGTATTACATTACCAGCTGTGGCATGCAGCACATGTAATGTCGAACCGTGTTATTACATTTTAGATCACTAATATGTAATAATAACACCCTTAAATTCCCATCACAAGTACCCTCCTACACCAACCTGGGCAGGTCCACGGGAGCCTCTCGGGAGTCCATGCGTGACGGGACGCAGCTGGTCAGCTCGGTCCAGTCCGCATGAAGCCCGCAGCTCCAGCCGGTGGAGAACCGGGAGAACAGCCAGGTCTCCTTTTTACCAGGCCGGTAACAGGTACATTTCTTCTGACCTGCATGGCACTCGCAGGGCCTCTCCAGCTGAATATTACGCACCAGGTGTCGACCAAACGTTGTGCCACCCGTTTTCTGAATGTGCAGAAAGACTATAACATCATCTCCTTTGATGTTGAAGTCCACGACGCGATTTAAATCAGATTTGGTGAAATTGAAGCGAGGGACGAAGCGGACCAGAGCACCATCTTCTGCGATGTACGGATCCTTTTGTAGCCCGTCCAGGATTGTGTTGCCGCTGCTCCGGGAACCAGTTGCACTGCCGTCCTTAAACCACGTCCCCAGCTGGTGGAGTATCTGGCACTCAGACTTGCTCGGGCAAACATACTGGATCATAATGACGCCAAAGAGCAACACCATGAGCAGGACGATCAGGACCCGGTGGTGGCTGCTGCTGCTGCTGCCGCTGGACTTGTCATCCATCTTCCCGGGGCGGACAAAAAACCATCACTCACGCAGTCCGAGCCCCTGCCTCGGCTGGGGAACCTCGGGTGATCGTGTGTTATGGTCGCCTACTGAAGCGAAAACAATAACAATGCAGATGCTAGCCAGCTAACGGCAGCTAGCTCGACTGAGTCTAAAAAACGCACGATAGCTCATCATAATGTTCGCAGTATTACAGGACGCAAGGCGTGCACGTCCCATTTTAAATAACAAAGCAGTTTGTTCCTGTACCAGTAGGTTAGTTATATTTAAGAGATATGTCTTGCAGCAGTAACGTTTAATCCGTGCCTGCCTCGGCCATCGATTCTTGACCTTTCTTCCCAGCAGCCTCTGCGATTAAAAGTGGGCGTCAAAGTGACGTCATCCGTGTGGTAGGCACCATCGATCCAGAGCAACGGAGATAAACAAAAGTTAACCCAACAAGCCGGTTAAAGCTCTTTCACGCTTTAAGGGTTGTAAGGGTTGTGTAGCCTTTAATAGATGATCAATCAGGTACATCGTTCGTTGTTGTTGTTTTTATACCACGTACGTGGTGTGTATGTTCTATCGCCGAAATAGCTCAGTTGGGAGAGCGTTAGACTGAAGATCTAAAGGTCCCTGGTTCGATCCCGGGTTTCGGCATTTTTATGTCGTCATATTTTGGAAACCAAATGTAGCATGGCCAATCTTTTTCAAACAAATCAAATGTTGCTAACCACTGTTGATGTAAGCTATTTGTGTACCGGCTTTGTTTCTAGAATGGCAGCCTGCCCTGTATAGCAAATGTATGTGAGTGTCACAGACATCATGTTCATTCAATTCTGTGGTAATTCAATCAGGCACTAAATGAGCAAGGTTCTGCATTAGAGCCAGATATAGGTCTCGTACTGACTTACCAGTTATCTCTGGTTACCATGTTTCTTTGTAACCTTTAAATAAGACTTTTAAAACCCTGCACTAATTAAAATGTTGTACATTTTTACATGTTTCTATAGTATAGCCAGTATATTATGAGGCTATATTTATGGGCTTTGTGGTAAAAGTCAATAGTAAGTGCTGTTTACAAATTAGACAAATCAAACACGTTTTTCAGCTTCTCTCATTTGCATCGTGTGTTCTCGTCTCACTCAGTAGTTTTCAATGTTCTGCGTCCACATAATTTAAGATGATTTTCAGGAAAATGTGCATCACAGCTCCACTGATCAGCTTTGGATGGGGGGGGGGGGGGATAGTTGACTGGTCTTTTCCACAGGGAAGAATTTCACCCCCAGCTCCACCCACCCACATTCCTGTCTACCAAACAGTGGCCTCCAGTCTGGACCCCCCTCTGGGAATTAAAAACACTTATTTAAATGCAGTGTGGACCTGAGTTCTCTCAACTAATCTCTGTGTCTGTAGTGAATCCAGTATGACTTTGGGATTCAGGATCAGGAAAAGTTTGCTCTTGTAAGAACTGGTAAGCTATGTGCCGTAAAGATTTTAAAAAACAAATGTGTATCCTGTTTCTACTGAACAAAATGAGCCCACAATGACCCCCTAAAGTGCTTTCGAGTCTGATTAAAGTCATTAATCAGCCCCTTCATCAAAGAGGTCACCCAGCTGATAAAAAGAGGCCTGTTGGTAAAAACAGACGTCAGATCGACGTCACTACGTTACTGCTGAAGTTTCTAGCACCAAAAATCGTTTGTGTGAAAGATGTTTTCTCTGCTCAATAATAAAACGACCTCTCAGATCCGTATTTTAAATACTGTGAGGTGAAAGAGGAGTAAAATAAATGTAAGACATTATAAACCATTGCCATATGATTTTCTGGATTCCTTCTTTTAAGATATTTTTAAAAAATTGACAATTTATTAAATATTTACTTCTTTTTAACTTTAACTAGATTTTTTGGTCAAACATATATAATAATTGGTCGCTATTTTCTCATGGGAGTGGCTTATATGTTAACTTAAATACATGAGCCTGTATGTGTATTATGCTAATACGATTAGCATTGTATATATTGTGCATTTTTATATTTGCATTTTTTATATATATATTTTTTTATTATTGTTTTTAAATGTCCGCTTTTTAATTAATAAAGTAACTATCTATCTAAATTTACATTGATTCAGCAATAAGTGGTTCCGGCTAATATTCATAAATATAAGTTCTAAATGGAAGGTTTATACTGTGATCATCATTCAATATAACTACTTCCAATTTTTTAAAAGTTATTATTATTATTATTTTGACAAAAATGCTGATGATTTATTTTTTTGACGGAGTGAGACCTCTGAAGGCCCCTCCCCCTCTCTGTGGTGGGCGGGGCGTTGTATAACGGCTGAACTACGCCCTGATTTCTGTAAATACCCACAACAACCACGGTGAACCGTTGCACGGTAAACAAACGGCGATGTGCTGAACTATTAAAAATATATTTGTTTTTAATTAACGCATGACTTTCATCGTTAAGTTCCTCTTTGACTTGTAACATGGAGCTGGACCGGCGGCTGTTGCTGGCCCACTGTGCTGCTCACACCCTCTCGGTCGTGGCGGGCCTGCTGGTGGTCGTCCCCATGGCTCTCAGCGGCTCTGCCTTCAAAGGCCGCTGCGCGCTCTTCTCCACCGGCTACTGGAGGACGGAGGACCGGGAGGAGCCGACGGGACAGCCGGGAGACGTCGCTCACCTGGTGGTGCAGCAGTGGGGCCCACCGGCGGCCTGCCAGTTCGCCACCTTTGTGGGTATTTTCACGGTGCTGTACGGTGCAGCGCAGGGCTGGAGGAGCCTCTTCTATCTGCACGGACGACACGATGAGTGAGTAGGGCACAGATAACTGATTACTGATCTGATTACACTGCACTTACTTCTGTTATTGCACTACTAATGTTCTTTATTTGACTGTTTCAATGTGATGGTACCTCATACTGACGCTCCACTACGTTATTGAGGCACATCTTTTACTTTTGACTCCGCTACATTTATTTAAAAGTTCTAGGAAGAAAAATAAAACTACATTTTCATTTTTTAAACTACCCAGCAGTATATTTAGTAATTGTAATTAGCTCCACCAGGTCCAATATTAGTATTTAGACATTACGCATCAATAAGTATATCCAGTAACGTTAATTGGATCATTTAATTTAATTTAAAGTTATTCTGAAATGGGCTATTCTGTATAACTCAATGAGTACTTTTACTTTAGTAAGATGTTGATGTTACTATATACCGTAGACATGTGTAAATGCTTTATTATGTAAACAAAGAAGCTGAAAATACATTTTTATCCATCTCTTCATCCCAGTTTAAGTGGGTATGATTAATGATTCATCTTGTCTATGAAATGAGAATAAATTGTGATAAAGTGAACATCAATATTTCTTAAAGCCCATGATGTTGTCTTCAGATGCCTTGTTCTTTTCTCACCAACAGTCCAAAACCAAAATAAATTCCTTCCTATCAGATCTGTTTTAAAAAAGCAGAAAAGCATCGCGTTAGAGTTGCAGGAACCAGAGAATGTGTGGCCTTTCTCCTTGAAAAATGGCAAAAATGATTATTCAGTTATCAAAACATTAATTCCAGCCCTAGTGTATATGTCTCCCCACATACCCTCCATATATAGCTTTTAATCTATGTTGGTATTAATAGCACCATATGTCTGATGGCTGTCTGTCTGTGTGTTTCTGCTCAGCACCCTGTTTTCGTCCTTCCTGACGGTGCTGCTGAGTGTGTGTGTGCTCTTCCTGTCCGGAGGGGCCAGTGTGATCCTGTCTCTGGGACTCGTCTCCTGGTGTGACACCGTGACTGATCACAACTCACGGCCATACAGGTACAAATCTTCTGGTGGTGGAACATCCTATATGTCGATATTTTATGTAGAGATCTTTCAGTCAAGAGTGCTTCCAAAACATACTGATGTCCAAAACCCCGAAACAGTTAAAAGTCTGTGTCTCATCTGTTTTTGTTTGTTTTCAGCTGTGCAGAGTCCCAGTCTGTCCCGCTTTACCTGGATGTGAACACCTCCTCTTTCTACACAGAGCTCAGTCTGGCACAGGTACGAGTGCTCTCACACACACACACACACACACACACACACACACTAGATGTACAATACATAGCCCTTTGACTAGAAAAGGTATTTTCTCACTGGGGTTTTCCTTTTATTTGTCTTTCTAGAATGCTGAGATATGATACTGACTACACACACAGACACACATCAACATTCGTAGCCTATGTTTTCCATTCTAGAAGTGTGATATAATAAGCTTAATTAAGCACGTGTTGGGTCCTCAGGCGTCTCTGTGGGGCGTGACGGCTCTGTGGCTGGCTCAGTCCATTCTGGCGTTCCTGCGGCTCTACCACTCTCACAGCCAGCACATCAGCAGGCCGTGTCGTCCTCGAGAGAAGGAGCTGCTGCTGGGACACAGTCCGTCTGACAGCGGCTCCCCCACACCTCCACATCCTCCAGCAACACCCACCATCTTTGTCTAACTGAGAGAGTGTGAGGTAGTGATGAACAGCACTATAGTTAACATGTAGAATATGGGCATGGCAGTATGGCTTGGGACATCATATTTAGTGTATGTTTCTATTTTGATTTAATTTATTATGTTATACAATAAGAGCCTGGATGATAAATGGTATGGGCGTATATGTCAGCTGATATGTAACGAGAAATGCCAAAGAAATGTCGTTTAGAGTCGGTGTCTCCATTATATGTTTGTCCTCCAGAGAGCACTGACAAGTTTATTTTTACCATCCACTACGCGGTCAGGCTATATTATGTAATGACATGATGACTTTTGAGCAGGGCCAAAATCACTCACTTTACATTACACTGCCATCACAGTCGGCCATGTCTCACTCAAGCACCACAACTTAGAGTTACACTTTGGGCCTCTTGTATTTATTACATTTGAGTACATTAGATTAAGTATTCAGTTTGATTAAAGATAAACAAAGATTTTAACCCATTTCCTTGTCTAAATAGCCAGAAAGTAACAAAAAGCAGTTGTGGATGAACTGCTCCAAATACTTAACGCAACAAAAGAAGCTAATTAAGTCTTCTTATTTTGGAATAATGGAATGTATTCCTGTTCTTCCCATTCTGCTGAAATTCCATGAATGCAGCATTACACATCTCCTTGCTTGTTTTGTGTGACATAAGAAAAATGTCAATGCAGTAGAGCCTACAATTCAAGCAAGGACATCGTGTCATTTCCAGCTACATTTTTTTGGATTAGGAAGTAAAGTTTAAACTTTGAAAACATCTTTATTATCACGCAGCAGACTGAATGTTTTCATGTATATGGTTAAAAGAGACTAAATTATTCTCTGAAGTGTTGGTAAACAAGCTTCTGTTTTTTTCAAAGCTGTGTGGGAATTTGTTTATTTTTAGCTCCAGCGTAATGAAGATGCATGAGAGCCACTAACTGGGACGGACCTCAACTCTTTGCTGGAACAAAAGGGATTTTACTGTATTCAGTCATCTAATATCAACAGTGTTATTCAGAAGCTAATAATCATTCTTGTCATTTGATGGTGACTTTGTGAATTACAGTTTATTCACGTCACTCAATGACTTCACAAGGAACCAGATGGTGTTTTTCTTTCAGTCCGTTTTGGATATATTTAATATGCATGGTTATTTACATGTCTGCTGGAGAATGACGTTTTGCACAGTTGTGTCGTCATCAGGGAGAATGCACTTTGTTGACTGAGTGTAAAGTTCAAACGTAGCACTGAGGCGCTTTTATTGTGAAGCATGTGGTGAGAGTGTGACTGAGCCACCAAGTACCAGGCTCACTGTGTGAGCACGACCCCCCCCCCCGATGTTCTGTTGTGTAACGGAAAAATCACTGCTGACCGTCTCTCTCTCTCTTCTTGTGAAGATTTTTGTTATGATGCTGTTTGTCTGGAAGCAGCCGCTCTCAGGGCGCTAATGAAGCGGTCAAATCGTCTCAGATGACACTTGTAGAGTTTGCAGAGTGTAATTAGGAGGTAAACCCTCACGGATCGGTGCTAGTTGTCATCTTGAGAGAGATTTGTGCGGAGCCCAGAAGGGTGAAGTGAAGAGGAAAGAAGTTACTGACTTTTTTGAGTTTTTAAAACAAATGATTTGAAGTTAAACTTCTCTCCTATTATCATCGTCGACCGAAGTGGCTGCAATGACACACAGACAGCGGAGCAGGAAATCTGAAGTAAAGAGAGATGAGACAGTAATGTCACTTGAAATGATTTGTAATATATGAAATGTTTTGTATTATAACTGACAGTGGTCTTGCTTTTTACCTCTTATACCTGTTTTTGCTCATTCACATTCATGTTTTTTTGCATTTGTCTTCTTTGTCGGAAATAAAAAGCTTCCCATTATGAAATAATGTCTCAACGCACGTACTAAAATATGAACATCCATACACAACAACACTGACTGATATGTTTGCCTTTTTGTAAGTGGAGAATTTCCTCCCACTAAATGACACACTTAATATCTCCTGCCTTTTAAAGAAGGAACATGACTAGAAATAACAGCGTGTTAATATGCCAAAAGTAAACAGTCGATTAGGTCAACAAGATTGATATGTAAGTTCATACAAGTTATTAATTTACAAATGTTAATATGACCTCTACCTCCTCACATACACACAAAAGTCTAAATAAAATGAGTTTATTTGCATTTTATTCTCAGCTACACATGGGCCCATTTTTCTACAGAAATGGTACTTTAACCTCTGAAAATACTTTTGGACTTTTTTTTTACATTGTTGGCTGTTGTATTGGTACAACTACTTAAGTGAGGGACCAGAATACTTCTCCCACTAATTTTAAGACTGACAAAAACAATTGCTTTATAACAGGATCAGTCTTCATCAATTGACAGCACAATTAGCCTTCACACTTTAACCTGAACAGCAGTGGTGGAAGCTACATTTAGTGAAGTACTGTACTTAAGTACCTATTCGAGGTAGTTGTACTTTACTTGAGTATTTCAATTTTATACTATTTATCAATTCCACTCCACTACATCTCAGCGGTAAATATTGTACTCTTTACTACATTTATCTGACAGCTTTAGTTACTTTTCAGATTACAGTTTTTCATCCAGTCCAGTGCTATAGATAAACATTCTTAACAAACTGATTACAAACTTAACTAACTGGTTATAAACTTCACAAACTGGCTACAAACTTCACAAACTGGTTACAAACTCAACAAACTGGTTACAAAACTTAACTAACTGGTTACAAACTCAACAAACTGGTTAAGAAGGCCGGCTCCATCATTGGCTGCAAACTGGACAATCTGGAAAAGGTGGTGGAGAGGAAGACACTGAAGAACCTATTATCCAACAGACTCCTCCAGCTCCTCTGTCACAAGGACAGATACAGGAGAACATTCCTGCCCACTGCAACAAGACTTTAAAAATATATACGTTATTGTGTTCACAGTTTTTAAGTTACTGAATTGGAAAGATGGATAAAGCCTCACAAAATGTGGTTGGATCATCCATGTTTTACTGGTACCACCAGTACCATTTTAACCGTTTGGTGGCAGTAAAAGCTCCTGCGAGTGTCTAGTCTGCCAAGAATTAGACCAAAGAAGAAGAAAAGAGCCAATCACAAACCAGAGCACCATATTGAACCAACGATCCAAACCACTGCTCTACTGTTACAGTTTACTTTGGCAGTTTACTTTAAGTCCGTTTTTCCGCACAACTGGAACAAGAAGACAGCTGAATCTGTACTCTATCGGGAACAATGAAGCTAACGGACATGAAGAAGTTGAAAGTGCCCGAGCTGCGGTCCAGACTTAAAGAGCTCGGGCTGGACCACAAGGGGCTGAAGGCTGAGCTGCTGGGGAGGCTGTGGTCCGCGTTAGAGGCGCGACAGTGTGGGATAGACGTACAAGAGGTACAACTACAACATGACCGCTCACTGACGGCCACAGCACCGTCTATGGACGTCCACTCTCCGTCCTCATCCCCGCCGACAGCAGCTGGTGTTACTGAGCGATGTGAACCGGACCGCACCCGTGAGTACGCACACAGCGCCACACAGACAGAGACGGACACCAGTTTGCCGCCACAACAACACGGCTCTGAGAGTATTTCAACGCTACAGCGAGGCTCCGAGAGTATTTCGGAGTGTGTACCAGAGTACCAGGCGGAGGAGAGAGGAGGAGGTGCAGGGGACGGGAGACCTCTGTCCTCAGAGGAGATGGGCAGAGGAAGAGCTTTCTACGAGTTCAAAGAGGAGATACGATACAAAAGGTAAGGTTTACCTTTTGTATCGTATCTCCTAGGCACGATGTTCGTAACGATGTTACGAAGGCGAGATAGTTAGTAGTTTGGTACGAAAGCATTTAAAAGTTTCAGGATCAGCCAAAATATACACTTAAAGTATAAATTGGGATTATACTACAGTTGTTTATGGACTGTTAGATAGGGGCAGAGCTGGAAAGTACAATTTTAAACCCCATTACTTATTACATGTTACATGTTGAAATACTCAATTATGAAATAGTGGATTTTGATAGACCAACGTCCCCCATCGTTTAAAAAAGAAGGTCGCAAACCACACTTCTTATTAGATTTCATTGACTTCATGTACTTTATATCTTTCAGTTGCACCAATTCTAGAAAAGAAAAACAATGTAGAAAAGATAGGCCTGTCTGAACATGCAGATGAGATGGTATGGGAATTAAACATTTCAACAGGGTTTGGGTTGAAATATAGCAAAACTATACTAAACATGGGTCTTTTAAAATCTGTTTAGGGACTTTTTATGTAAATGTTGTTCTCTTTCTCCCCTAAAACTAGAGCCAAATCGCCTCAACCTCCAGTGGACAGAGAGGAGACGGAGGCGGAAGATGAAGATAAAGTCAGACTAGATCCATGTAAGTCTTTGGACAACACGCACCACCTCCCTGGTGGAGGAACATGAAACAAACTTCATTTAGTTAAATGGATTTAAGCTATGATAAGCAGGTTGATTCCCTGACGTTCTGTCTGCACAGATGACAGTCACCTGCACTTTGAGGTCGGTCCCGATGGCGCATGTGGACAGCCGCGGTTCTGGGCTCGATTCTCCTCACTGTGGTCAGGATGCAGGCTCACCCACGGGGTGCTGCAGGGCAAGGTGGGCTTTGAAGTGAGGCTGGAGAGGAAGTTGTTGACTACACAGCTGGAGGAACAAGAAGACATGGAACCGTGTGGCCTGAGAGTGGGCTGGTCTATGGCCAACACCTCTCTACTGCTCGGTAAGAATTAGGTTCATTTTAGGAGAATTGATTTGAACAGAGGCACTTTTGGAGATGTGTTTATTGTTGTTAATGTCCCTTTCTTTCCCCCCCCTATGGCTGTCTCATACCAGGTGAAGATGACTTCTCTTATGCTTATGATGGGCGCGGTAAAAAAGTGTCTGGTGGGAAGGAGGAAGTGTTTGGAGAACTCCTCTCAGAGGGAGATATCATTGGCTGTTATGCTGTAAGTGACACTTCTCTTCAGTTCTTCTTCTATTTGGAGTCTTGTCACACCAAGATCTATTTTGGTGAAGTTTGAGGACATTTCTTTTTTTTCTAATCCCAACTGTTTGTTTGTGTTTGTGTGTGTGTGTGTGTGTGTGTGTGTGTCATGTTTACACATCGATAGTCGTTCTCCACAGACGGTGCTGTTGAACTCTCTTTCCATAAGAACGGTCGTGTCATGGGTGAGGCCTTTTCCCTGGAGTCCTCTGTGCTGAAGTGTGGTCCTCTGTTCCCTCACGTCCTCTGTAAGAGCTGTTCAGTCAGGGTTCTCCTGGACCCCACAGCTCCTCCCTGGTACCCTGGTCCTCCAGGGTTCACACCGCTGGCAGCTCTCTGTGCTAGGCAGAGGGTGCGCAGCACATTGCCTCCTACCTTCAGAGCACAGTGTGAGGTGAGAGACGGGAAACTATCCATCCAAAGTGTTTGAATTCACAAAGGATAGAAAGAACATCTTTAAGTAAATAAAAGTATTCATTACAAGTTGTTGCATTTTAATCTTTCGCCTCCTCCCTCCAGGTGTTGTTGATGGTTGGTCTTCCTGGGTCTGGGAAGAGCCACTGGGCCAGGACTCACGTGAAGCAGCACCCTGAGGAGCGGTACAAGCTGCTGGGCACTGAGGAGCTGCTCGCATGTATGATTGTCAGTCAAAACTCCAGTTTTCACTCTCGTGCTTATGTTCACATTCAAAGAGGATGTTCAACTTCTGACCAACTGATCCAAAAATGTTTGACGTGTGTGTGTGTGCGTGCGTGCGTGCGTGCGTGCGTGTGTGCGTGCGTGCGTGTGTGTAGAGTGGTGGACAGAGGGACAGCAGGCTGCAGCAAGCCTCTCAGTGTCTAACTGATTTGATCAAGATGGCCGCTCAGACTCCGGGCAACTACATCCTCGACCAGGTGACTTCCCTACTATACACATCAATTTAACTCTAAAATCACCTTTTTAAGTCTCTGTATATTAACTTATTTTCAAAGATTTGTTCCACTGTGACATTTTATTCCACCTCCTCAGCTCTCTTAACATGCTCTCTTTTTCAAATCTCTCTTTTTAGGGCAACATCCTCTTCTCTGCACGGCGTTACAAGCTGCAGCTGTTCGCGGGCTTCAGGCGCCGGGTGTTGGTGGTCTTTCCCTCAGCGGACGAGTGGAAAAGACGACTGTCTCAGCACCAGATGAGCAACGGGGAGCAGATCCCTGAGACAGCCCTGCTCAAACTCCAAGGTGTGACTTGTGCACATGTTATAGGAAGTATAACATATGAGTTCATCATAAGAAATTGAGGGACACAGAAGATATGGGTTAAACTGGTGTCAGCAGGCGATCTGAACGGACTGGAGTCTCTGGAAATGCTGACAATCAGATAAACCAGGGACAGCACAGTCATATGAATGGATCCAATACAGACTGAACATCACATGCATGAGTTTCCGTGTTGTACTACTTGAACCGTCCCTCTCGTCTCCAGTGAGCTGCAGTCTTCCAGAGCAGCACAGCAACCTGCTGGAGGAGCTGCAGTACGTGGAGCTGCCTCAGGAGCAGGCACAGGCGCTCCTGCAGGAGTACAGCGAAGAGGCTCGCAGACTGCTGCCCCCCATCCCCAAACAGGAGAAGAAGAAACCCCGACATCACAAGAAAAGACCCCACCCTCACGGCCCTCCACCCTCACACAGTATCCAGTGGACTGGACTTCATGGTCAGCGTGAGAAATGATGGGCAACATGTGGGGAGACTTGATATTTTAAGATGTTAGTTGATCTCTTTATGGTCCTTGTAGGCTGGAACGACACAAGACTCAACATGCAGCCAAGATATGTGAGTGTTATACAACAAACCTCACTGTGACTTCATTTGGAGCCGTTGCTTTGTCGTTAGCTAAGCTGCACTTTAAGGTTTAAGAGGTTCCGGTCTCTTGAACCTCATCGTCTTGTAGAAATCAACCAAGTTTAGTACAAAGGAAGAAACACGCTCATGAAGGAGATAAGGTCAGTAATGTATGCTGTCATTTTAGGCTGTAATGTAGTCAGAAGAAGTAAATTATAGATGTCTTGTAGGACCAATTTCAACTGCTATTTCAATCTATATATTAATAACCTTAATTGCCATTCCTTCTTTGTTATAAGTGTGGGTTAGCTGTGTTTCAGCTGAATCTGAGCAGTCGGATGCAATTTCTTAAACCGCTGAAAGGTTCTAATTATCTCAGCAACAGCCACTTTTTAAGTTTTCCTTTTAAATGAAATCTCATTGTCTTTTTATGTGCTTTCCATTTCAGTGGAGTGTGCCTCATCAGGATCAGGGCTGCTACTACAGAGACGTCGGCTACAGTGGATATGAAGGTTACTGGTGAAGAAACAGATGCTGCTGCACATCTGTGTTTACAGGGACAATCGTTCTACTGATGCCACTAACTACATCAGCAAGACATACTATAAAGAACTACGGTATATGTTGCACTCGCTGCTTTGACCAATCAAAGATAATCAGTGTTGTAGTATTTAATCATTTTACCGGCAACAACCAGATCACTTTTCAGGATTTTTTTATTGAAAATGTTTAAAAAAATTCAATCATGTTTTTACTGTGCAATTTACAAATGATGGAAAATACACCGTGTTTTGTGATCACCAGTGTTGGTCAGAGAGTCTTCAGAGTAATAAATCCCTCAACCCTTTGTGTTTGTGCACATTTGATCATGTGGATGTATTCTCTGCTATCGGCTGAGCGTCGTGTCGTCTGCTCCGGCCTCGCTCGCTGTCTGGCTTCACTGTCTGATAAAGCAGCACGGCTCCTTTAGCTGAAGGACACAGCTCCGACCACAGAGGGCTGCTTCTGTCTAGCTGCAACACCTCCTACAAAAAAATCAGGGACAACGATATGCAGTCTTGTGTGTGTACATGTTTTTATATACCGTACTCTGCTTCTAATGAAAGTGCCAAAACAAGAAAGCTCATTCCTGAGTTCCTATTCTGACATTTAAAACATCTGTAACTCGAGTTTACTCACCGTTCTGCTGAGAAAGATAATTTCTGTGGACTCGCTGGCCTCTGCTCCTCCTTTCCAGTACAATGTTCTGACTTCATCAGATGTCAACGAGCAGCTGAGGACATACCAATGACACAGACTCTGCATTATATATATATATATATATATATTTATAAAAAGGTTTTCAAGTCAAACTTCCATCATATAAAGTGAGGGAATGAGAACCTGATGTAAAACTCAGCACTGGGTCTGCCAGCGCTGGTGTGATTCAGAGCGACACCCATCAGGACCGGCTCTCCGAGGGAGCTCAGAGGAATGTTCACCTGCAGACGGACAGACGGACGACGGGATGAAGGAAGTTTCTAGTGTGAATATGGTCGATTTTCTCCATCATTGCTAAGTTGTGCTAAAATGCTTGCCGGGCTCTTAAACATATTGGAAAACATGAATATTGTTTCATATTTTCTTTAAATTAATTGAAAGTTATTCTTCATTGTTTTATTGATCTTATTGACTCAAGTCATTTGAGTTTTCCTTCTACCTGATTTCTTAGTTTATCACTGAAGGACTGAAACAATCCGACCTTAAACCTGCTCAAACTAGTGCTGAAACTGTTGATCTGCACAGTATCGAGGAACAACAACTTTCATAAATAATGAATCGTGTAGTTCATTGATTAACAAAAATAAATCTAAATATTTGCTGGTTCTAGCTTCCAAAATGTGAGGATTTGATGCTTAACTGAACATCATCTTTTGGATGGTTGGTGAAGAGATTTTAAGATATCTTGGAACGTTTTCCACTAATTTCATAGACTAAATGATTAATCAATTACAAAATAAATCAACAATATTAAGAGATTACATTTTAGCCATTTTTTATAATGGGAGTGAAAATGAACTCATTTATTTAACAATAAATCGGGACATAAAGGAGCATTGAAAGCTGCACTTATTTTATGCCAATGTAGAAATGCAGCAGCCTTTTGTTTTCATTCTATTAAAGGAACAATGTGTCGTATTTAGGAGGATCTATTGGCACAAATTAAATATATCATTAAGTATGTTTTTTTTAAGTGTAAAATGTAATGTAGTGTAAATCACCTGAAAATAAGTAAAGTGTTTTTGTTACCTTAAAATAAGCCGTTTAAATCTACATACTCTTAACGGCGCCGGCCACCATTTTTCTACAGTAGCTCAGAACGGACAAACCAAACACTGGAAAGCGACATTTGTGTTTTTATGTTTTCACATTGGCCACTCTAGTTCTCCTACACGCTTGGCTCACGGGAGAAGTTTCAGTTTGATGCAATCTGCAACCTCACTGCTAGATGGCGCCAGATCCTACACACTGCACCTTTAATCATTTAACTGTAACTAAACATCAACTTGACATGAACTAACAAGTTGAGAGTGGACCTTTTTCCCCCCTCACCTCGTCTCTGATCTCGGCGCACACAGACGAGAACAGCTCGGAGACGACGGGCCTCTGCTGCATCATGTCCACACTGATCTGCTCCTCACACACAAGCCGGCCCAGATGCTCACACACCACCTGAAGAGGTGCAGCGACGGTGTGAATAACACATATTAAATTACACTTAATCCACTTTATTTACTTCACCTTTGGCTCTGGGTGACCTCCGGGGATGTCCAGGAGCCCCCCTGCCTCTGCCACCCTCTGGCTCCTCCTGATCAACACCACCTGACCGTCGTCTGTACACAGGATGCCACCCACACCCAGAGGCTGAGCCAGCAGCACCAGAGGATCCCCGAACTGCTCCTCCCCGCGCTGACGAAGCTCTGCCACTCGACACGACCAGTTTGTTCCCAGGTAATCTTTGTAGCAGGTAAGGCCAAGTCTCAGAGTGAGGAGCGGCGCCGCCTCCTGATCGTCTGTGTTTTTGGAAGGACGTTCAGCTGTGGCGCTCTTAGATTCACTGTATATGGAGGACGCTTGTGACAATGCTCTATCTTTATTCTCTATATGATTGACAGGTGTGTTTCTTTTGTCCAAACTGCTCTGGACAGAGTCATGCAGAGAATCATTGATGCACAAATTCTCCATCTTTTGTCTGCTGTGTTTTAATTCCCCTTCCTGTTGCTCTGCACAGTCTAAGAGGGGCATGTGGTGAGTGCAGGGTGGGTGTTTAGGAGAAACAGAGGAAGACGAGGTCAAGCAGAAAGAATGCAGTCTGAATTTGGACCCGTTGAAAAGCCACGGCTCCTTGGACACTCGCTCTGTCCACACCTCCTCTATTTGATGCTCCAGGGACGGATCTGTCTGCCTGTTGAATCTGGGAAGACGGAAAGGAAATGAGACAAAATCTTCAGGTTAGTAACATTTTGTCCAATGTCAAACTGATGTATTTAAGGACACGGCTGGTGTTATTCTATATTCTTCTTATCAACAAATCCCATAAAAAAAGTTCCTACCATTAGCCCTGTCACATGATATTTACGTTATCGACTTATCAGATAACATCTCCGGTGTGGAAACATTGTTGATGTGTGTTGTTGATTTAATCTAACTTACAGCTAATATGTTCTTACTTTTTGGATAACAAATGTTCTAACCATTGAGACTGATTGGCAGGATATTGCCTGTTAAGGCATGAATGACTCTTTATACCCCTGTGCCAAATATTTAATATTTAAGTGCAATTTTTGTGAACAGAGCTCAAGAGTCCATTAATTGTTTTGGTTGTGTTGTTTCATTTAGAATATATTTTTCATATTCCAATGTCTGAATAGTCTTAACATTGGCATAAAATGGTCTTAAAAAGACAATAATATTGTTTATTGTCGTTATTTTTTGAACAATATGTGAAGTAGCATTCATTACAGGCCTAATATGTCTGTGGCCAACAATGTAATTCTTTAAAAATGATTCCCAAATCCCAATATCTATGTCACATGTTTAAGCCATTGTGTCTTTTAAGTAGAAAGGCCGTATAATTACATAATTATATGGTTTTAACACATGTCAGAGGCCTGGTTTCTTGTTTTTCTACCTTTCAGAGAGCTCCACTTGTACTTGAGGCTGCAGCAGGCCCCTCCAGGCTGCACAGTGCAGCAGCACCGACACTTCAGAGTCCGTCATCTCTCACTGTGGATTGTCATTGAAGTCTTTCGCTTGTCTCTTCACTCACACGGCTGCAGCTCTGTACCTGTTTTCAACTGTTAATATATCACACAGGGAAGAAACAAAAAACTGTCAACATGTAAAGAGCTGAAACAGAACCCAATTAAATGCGGTAAATAACTGTAACGAGGTCAGGAAGTAGACCTTTTTCAGGCCTCTGCCTCCACTCCTCATACACAGACACACCAAGAACACACATTCAGAGATTAAAGCTGCAGAAGTCTTTGTGTTGATTCATTTATAACAAGCCAGCCAGCAACAAACCAGTTAGTGTTTTTCTGCACAGTTTAATCAAAGAAAGACAATACGATGAGCCAGTCTTAGTTTGTCATTCATAATGGTGCTACAACTTACACCTTTAATGTTGTAATGAGCTATATATTACGACAATAACTTCAGCAAAAAGAAAAAAAAATATTGTTAAAACTGCGACACTGTGCACCCAATTAATTTCTATTTATTTATGTTGACTGCATGCTTAATGTTACTTTATTTTATTTTATTTTATGTTTATCTGTCATTTGCTTTTGAATAGATGCAACTATGTTTTCTTTATTGTATGTATTGGTGTTTATTTGTCATTTTTGTATTGTTAACCGATTTAAAGTTTTTTTTAAAAACAGGCAAAACAGTAAAAACACCTGCAGTGACATCACCAGGTGGGCTGTGGCCAGAAGTGCAGCAGTGTGTGCTTTACAGTTTATATTACTATTAAAAAACATGTTATTGATTATACAGCTTTCTAAAAGTTGGTATAATGCGAACTAGAACTGTTTAATTGAAATAACTAAAATATTTTGTTTCCGTTTTCAGGCGAGTGTACAGTTTCTCATGGATCATCACTCAGATGTGACTTTGCGTTAATGTTACAAACTGTTCCGACTGAGACGACCTACTTTCAGTTCATCCAGCAGCTGAGCACAGACACGGAATTTAAGTACAAATCACAAGTTATCATGTAACACGATACCGCCACCTGTGTTTCACTGTAACGTTGCTAAAGTAGCACGTGTTACTATTATAATATGTTAAATCTGGGCACAAAGGTTGTTTTTATCTTACCTTCCTACGTGGAAGTGTATGCAATGTGAAAATGAGCCAAGTGTAGTTTCTTCCTCTTTTATATACGGACGGTAAAACGTGTTCATCATCACCATCCAGTGACCAAGAGTCCGAACAACACGTCGACACGTCATCGGAAATATAGTACTGACATCTGTAGAGAATATACATTATTATGTATATATATATAAAAAAAAACGTACACGTGTTTTATTGTATTGTACAATATATAGTGATACGATAAATAAATCATGTAAGTAACCTCTGTAGGTGAATACGGCAACGACAGGGTTAAATCCTGTGAAACGCGTGCACGGGGCGTGTTTGTTGTTGTGTTTAGCTGCCGAGAATCAACGACAACTTCCGGTCATTATCAAAATAAGATTCCTGGGCAACGCGTTGGGAGTACAGTCTATGGTTGTAAACTAAACTTAAAAGTAAATACTGTATAAGAAATGTTATTTTGATAAATATTATTGTTTGCTTGTATAGTTTGATACAGTTATAGTTTATCCACGTAACACTTAACAAAATAGATATGTCCTATAGCTTCTGGCAAAAGTATAATAACATTTATCTGCTCTGTTGAATATATTTATTTCACCAAACAGTACGATGTGTCCCTCTATGAACAGTCGTTGAACACCCTTTAGTGCAGGGGTCTCAAACTTATTTTCACTCCGGGCCACATCAGCATCATGGTCGCCCACAAAGGGCCGGTTGTAAATGTAACTACTCGTAACATATTGTTAAATAACTCTCTGCATTTGATTATTGTTTATTCAAGTGTAAAAATATTGTACATGCAGTTATATAAATGTAAAATATATTTAAGCACATTTGTTATTATAAATTAAATCCTTTTAATTTAGGGTTAAGAAACCCACATTACTCTATCAAAGATCAAACTATTAAAGAAAATAGCAAACACAAATATCAAACACAAGTTATTACAATAACTTTGTTCAAAGCTTAAAATCCTTTCAAGGGTGCGTTTGCACAATCCCACGTGAAGTATTTCATGTGTTTTAAAGCCAGTTTAAAGTAGTCTTCAATGTACTCATAATACATGTCCATGTCACATGTACAGTAACCAGCCAAAGAGCTTTCTATCATAGTTATGACTTTCTATCTCATAACTTCGACTTTCTATCTCATAATTTCGACTATGGGGATATTTTTATTGTCAAGTCTAACTTTAAAAAAAAAAAATTGCTGGCGGATTCGCGGGCCACATAAAATGACGTGGCGGGCCGGGAGTTTGAGACCCCTGCTTTAGTGGTTAAAAAAATGACGCTTTATTTTGAAGGGTACGTCTCCTGTATTTTGGTTTTATTGTAGCTAGCTTGAAGCGGCTGAGTTTATGCAACAGGCCCACAGGACACCTACTGCTGCGGAACTGAGTGCTGCTGGTATGTCACTCTTCTTTGTTAAGTATCCGGCTTTATAGCATTGTTCAATGTGTGTTCTTCACCGCTGTCTAAATTACATAATTATTAGCAAGCTAACAATAGCACAAAGCAGCTGACGGACAGCTAACCGCGGACTAGCGTTAGCTCTACTGCACAGGTAACGTTAGCAGAACAAAGTGTCCCAGTAGCACTGTCTGCTCTTTATTTGAACGTTTATGTCATATAATGAGTCGTGTGCAAACTGCAGTTGTCTGTAGGTGGTGGCTCATTAAAGTACCTAAAGTACTACTTTTTAATTCAAAGTATGTTAAAAAACTATATTATATTGTTTTGTGTCAACACGGCCCCAATACAAAGTAGCACGATGTCACGAAGTAAATGACGAATTGTGTTTTAAGCTTCAGTAGATAATAAGGTCCTGTGACCAGCTGCTACTATAGTTTGATTGACTTTAGCCCTTGAGCAAAGATATTTACTCACCTCGTCCCGTTGTTGTCTTTATTCAGGTCACGTGTCAACAGATGCAAGTTGCTGACTACGTCATTGTCAATGGAAACACTGAAAGGTAAAAACAGGAAGTGTCTTAATAGCAACTTTAACCTCCTTTTCCATCATCAGTGTATCTCTTTATTTTTAACTGAACTTTATCAATATGTTTCAAGCTTAAAATATATATATATATATATATATATATATATATATATATATATATATATATATATATATATATATATATATATATATATTTATTTATTTATTTATTTATTTTTTAACATAGATTACATCTTAGTTTTTGGATTGCTTTTTTGGAGTATTTCATATATTGCTGTTAGGTCAGGCCAGTAAAGGCCAGTTAGTCCATACAATCTATTTAACTGATGTCCATGGTTGGATCTCTTACCATTGTGGTGAAGTTGATGGACAAGTTTACAAAATGTGAAAATGATCAGCCATTTTTTAAGCATACTGCCTCCAGTGTTAGTTTTGTCCTTAAGAGTTCCTTTGAATAAATCTAAACTTTAGATTAATAAATACCAGACTATGTCCCTCCAACAGATGTAGATTTGTAAGATTTATATATTCAAAGTCTATTGTTTTGATATGCTGTGAGGGTTGAGTCTGGAGTCATAATTAGTAGAAACATTTAAAATATCTCCCTGCTTCTCCTGTAATGCTCTTTGTATCATTGCTGATGTTAACATCTGCCCTCTTTGCTCAGGTCCTCTTTGTGGAACCTCAGGAAGTTCCCATCATGCAGTTGGAGGCTCAGCTGCGTCTTTGTCAGAGTTGTCTTTGGTGCTGCAAGAGCGGGCTGCGTCTGCTCTCCCAGAGCTATGCACACAGGTAGACGTATGTTTGTTGAATTGAATCAGAATTACTGAATCTTAGTGATTGTGTTCAGGTTTTCTGCTTTGTGGATTATTTGGTTTTGAGTTCTTTGCTTTCTCAACTACAGAAAAGCTGTGAGTTACTACGATCTCCTGGGAGTCAAATCCGACGCCTCCTTGGAGGAAATAAAAAATGCATTTATTGACAAATCTAAAAAGGTAGGTTACTTACATGAATGGCCACATGAGGGTAGCCTTTCACAGCTTAGTTTCTACTTTTTAACTGTTCCCACAGTGGGCTTCCTGACTGTTTGTTTTCATGTCGTTGATCCCAGTGTAAATAAGGATATGCATGTGTATTTACCTTGTGTTTTTGGCGTAATTTAGGGGTGAGACAACTCACCCTTTAGAGAAAAAAACATGGTTGTATGTACAACCATACATTTAAATGCATTTGTGTAATAGAGAAACATTTTTGTGTGTCGATGAAAGTATACATGTCCCACTTAGCACATGTCTGCACCAGAACATCTTTTGGTTAATTGTTTGGTTTGGTTTAGACCTCATTACTGTAACTGACCCATTCATCATGCAGCTGCACCCAGACAGTGACCCATCCAACCCAGCGCTGCACGGCCAGTTTGTGGAGCTGAACGAGGCCTACCGAGTGCTGAGCAAAGACCCGAGCAGGAAGGAGTACGACTTCAAAACCAGACATCCATACGGCGGGGGCCAGGCCTTCAGATCTACCTCCAGTCACACCAGCTACAGAGCCAGGTGAAGATATACGCAATCTGTCGGTTTGTGCTTGCTAATTAGTCTTACGTAACCTGACCTTCCTCCTCACTCTGTAACATGTTCATGCAAAGGGGGAAAAGACGATTGGCGGATGGTCTTCTGTGTAAAGAGGACATGCCGTTTCAACTTCAACACTGTGGCCTTGTGGGATATCTTTTGTAACACTCTCATTGGACATGCTATTTTTAAGACTTAGCTGGATCCTCAAGTGCTGCAGCAAAGCTGAATGAAGAATTCATCTTTGTACCTTCCCAAAGAAGGAAAACTACCCATGCAAGATTTAACATCTCAAGTTTTCTTAGTTTTTGAGAAAAAACAAATCGGTGAGAGTTTACTGCCACACAGCCAAGTGGAAGAATCGGAACTAGAAACGATTTATTTTTCATCACAATATGGTGCAAATTTACTACTTAATAATCCTTCAGACCTGCCACAGTAACGATTAAGTTAAGCCTGTTTTTAACACTTGTACTGTCGGTCACACCTCCTGTTTCTGACATCACCAATCCTTAATTCTTCTTGAACTACTTCACCATCAGCACGGACACCCAGGAGAGCTTTCGTTACTGGGAGCAGTTTCGCCATTCTCAAGCGCAGGAGATGACGGCAGAGGAGTGGCAGAGGAGGAGGAGGAGAAACTTTCACCTGGTGGGCTACTGCTTCATGACTATGTTGTTCAGCATCGGGGTCCACGTAGTCTTCTTCAGGTACAAAACCGGCACACGATGAAGAAACTGTTAAAGGCAAACAATAAAGCATTTTAAAAGGTGAATGTTAGAAAGACAACAATATCCATAACATACATAACTTCGTATCAAACTTCTCACTGCGGTCTATCCTTCTTACTTCACTGCAGTTTTTCTTTGCTGCACGTTCACATCCAGAGGAATAGGATTGTTTGTGGACATGTCTCTGTGCCATGTGTGTTGGTACAACCTCATGGCATGTGACCTTGTATTTGTTTTCCCACTCTGCCTCTGTGCCATTTCTGTTTGGGGAGATTCGCTTCTTTGTGATCTGAAGAGCTGTTATAACAGCTGTACAAACTCGTAAAGACAACTGAGCATGCAGAGTGCGTGATGGGCGACGAGTTTTTAGGCTAAGCAAAGTTATACGACGAGCTATGGCTTAACTAAAGTGTTTCCCCGACTGTCTCAGGAAACTGGAAGAAGTTCACATTAACTTCATGGACGAGAAAGATCGAGTCATCACAGACATTTACAATGAATCCAAAGAGAGGGCCAGGTGAGTGCGCACACTTTTTAGAATAAATCTGTGGGTTTTTTTTTTTTGATGGCACATTTGGGTGGTAGCAGTACATTTGTTTGGGTTTTGTGATGCCTGACCGTGGAGCTGAGTGTAAAGGTGTCGTCTGTGCTGTTTCTCAGGGCCAACGGTTTTAAGAAACAGACAGAAATCCTGCGGCAGAAACATGCAGAGTTTCTGGAGAAATACAACATCCGCAACGATGGAGACGACAAGTAGGAGAGTCTCCGACTGCGCTCAGTGACGATGGAGTTTGATACTGCCAGCAGGTGGAAGGCGGCAGACTGGATGTGGTACTTGTTTTAGGATTTTAAAGTGTATTTATTGAAACGAAACATGCTGATGTGTTTGAGGACTTTTAAGACACACAGAACATGGGTGTGATGTGTCAGACTGGACCCGGTCTGTCGAAGCATTTACTTACTGTAGAATATTTGAAGTGATGTAACGGTCAGAAGGATCCACCTACAGCGTGTACACAAACTTCTCCAGTATGTGTCCAAAGGAGCCATAATGAACACATGTTTAAACTGCCTCTAATGAACTCAAAGGGACTTGATCTCTGCTGTCCTCAGCCTCATTGCTGTGTTAGTGGGGCTCACCAATTTACAGCAAATTAACACCAGATGATCTCGTCAAGACGAAACACACCAGCTATAATGCCAATATGTTTCTTGCTGAAAGAGACTGGTATTGATTAAAATCATATATTAGTTTGCACACAACAGGATGTTTCCGTGATGTCCTCTCAGGTTTGATGAGGCTGTTCGGGGGGGATGATCTAGGAGGGTGAAGTGCAACATGTCCAAAGTCAAAACGTTTTTCAAGCAAAGTGGTTGAAACATGCTACAATGCCCGTTTACGTTTCACAGTTATGGATCTTGGGACATCGCCGTCAAACTCCTCATTGTTCCCTCTGTTGACCCGGTGTGTTTCTGTAGAATGCAACACCATGCCTAATAAAAAGTCCTCCATTTGTTAGAAACAGAGTCAGAGAATAAGATGATCGGTATTATGACTTAAAAAGAGTGGTGCTGAGTAATTTACATATAGTCCAACTATTGTGTTAAAAAACGAGACTATGAAAATGTTCCCTTTAAATGGAAAGAAGTTCACCGGTTATTTCAGCACTTATCGCCGATCCTCTCAGTTTTTCGATATTAGAGATTGTCGCCTTACTTATTCCTTGAAGGGATGTCGGAGGGAAATGATTAAAAGATAAACTTTTACTCATCAATCATTACTTCTCTTTGTTTTGTCTCTCATTCACATACTGTATGCTTTGGCTCTTGGTTTCTGTAATACAGAACAGACTACAGACACTGCGTGTTTTTTCTGTTTTCATACCAATAAATGTACGATTTTCTTTGGAAAAGGGACATTAAAAGTTAAGTAACCATTTCAGCGAAAAAATATTTCATTGGAAAGGATTTTCTCCAATAAGTTAAAGAGGCTCAGACATTCAGATGTAGACAGTGGCCTTTTAATGAGCAACCACACAGATGAGTCGGCACTATTGTAGTCTGATAGTAATTAGTGAATCATTGATCTGCCCTACATCATGATTCAGAAGTTTATTTTCCATTATGCTCTTTTAAAGGGAATTTGAAAAGCCCTTGTAAACATCCAATCTCACATTTTGGAGCTGCAGATGTGATTAACTGGAAAACTGACTTCACCAATACAGTACACAGCATGTTTATTTGCATATTTACATTCACATGAAAGCTCCATTTCATTTTGGTTATAAGCACATCCTGGGTGCGCAACATTTGTTTGCTGCTGACATCATGGAAAAAGTCTTGGTTTCTAGTTGTTTTTTTAAAGAATACATGCAGGACTTATGAAACTACCGTACAGAGCTACCATGTGAAATGTGTTTTAAGACGAGATATTGCCTTTTTTCCTTCTCTGTGTTCTTGTCACCAGCTTGTCCTGAGACTTCAGCTGGAGATAACATATCCCTGCATAGCTTACAGACACCCTCACCCTCATGTGGCGTGTGAGTGCCCTGTCGTAACCCAAACACACTATAAAGACTGGGATTCTGGCATGTCTACACACACACACACCCAACCAGCTGTGAAGACAGATTTAATTGTCTTTTATCTTCAGTTTAATGAGCTGCAGAGGTGTGTCAGATCACGCTATGAATAATACTCTGTGTCTGACATGCATGCTCTCTTATTTATCATTTGGAAAGCAGTAGATCGTGATATGGAGTGGAAAATAAATCATAGAAAAGTGATCCTCAGACTTTTACACCATACTACTTTATTTGATATAATTCTGTCCCAAAACAAACATTTGCAATAAGTTTAAATTAAATAAGTTGATAGGTAGGTACACTTAATAGTGTTCACATTTAGAGCATCAAAATATTATGCAAGTATTATAGTATTTACTCACCAGGTCCGAAGCAAAGGATGTTAGAAATACACACATCTCAATATCAAACCATCTTCTGACATCAAAAGTTTCAAATTATTCATTATTTGAGAATTACATATTTTATAATTACATGGCTCATGTCAGAAAACTTCCTCGAAAATTCTTTAATATTCGGTGAATTTATTTGAGAACTTATGGACTATAATGTGACACACCACCCTCTCCATACTGCCAGTATACTGTAGTGGTTAAATGCTAAGTCCTGTATTGTTTCTTTTGCCATGAAGCTGCAACTGACAATTCTTTTATCGATTTATTATTAATTTTGGTCAATGAAATGTCAGAAAATAAGGAAAATCCCTACCAGAGTATTCCATGTGACATTGTTTATTTTGTCCCAAACCATATAGAGCAATAATAAAACCAGAAATATTCAAATTTGAGTACCAGTTCATTTGTGGCACTCTTTCCTCAACAGATGACTTCAACGATTTATCAGTTATCAAAAGCTGCAGATCCATTTTCTGTGAATCGACTCACTGATTATTCGACCTATTGAACCAGAGTCATTAGGAGAATACAAGCCCTTGCTCTAAAAACCCCAAACGTGCAGAAATAAAACCGAGGACATGACCTCATTGTCCTCAGGGGCAGCTATACGGCCCTGTTCCCCACATACAAGAGGCCCCTGAATACCCCCCCA